AAATTTTAACACAATTTTTCCACTTTTTGGTGGGGATGGGGGAATGTTGGTGGTCGTGTAATGGAATGGAGTCCCTTTTTGAACAACTTTCTCTGTATCTTTTTCCCATAGTAATTAGCTTGTTTCAGTTTTTTCAGCTTGAGCAAGTTTTCACGTGACTTTTTAATCATATTTTACCAATTATGTCCAATTTTTCAAAAAAATATATTGGGGTAAATTGACTTTGTAAGTAGTTTTTAATCTTTTAATGTAACTGTGATTATTTTCCTTTATAAATTATTGTTTTATACAGTTGTATTTTCTTTCTTTTTATTGATTGAATTAATACAAATTTAACAAGTTTATATACCCTTTTTCCTACCCATAAAAGATTTCTTGAACTTGTTTATTAGCTCTGTATTTCTACTCAAATTTTGCTTTTATTATTGCTGTTCTTATGGTTCCTTTTCTAATGTCTCGATTGGATCCTTTAATTCTTTTTTTGTTGTTGGTATACTCATTTAAGGCTGTGAATTCTTTTCTGAACACTGATTTAATCCATTTTTTAAAATGTGCTGCTTTCATTATCTCCTTTTTCTTCTCCTTCAGATATTCTTTAGTTTTTGTTTTCATTCTCTGTTTAGTCCAACTGTTTCTTAAGGATATCTTTAAATATTGGATTTTATTTTATTTATTTATTTTTAAATTTATTATACTTTATATTCTAGGGTACATGTGCACAACGTGCAGGTTTGTTCCATATGTATACATGTGCCATGTTGGTGTGCTGCACCCATTAACTCATCATTTCCATTAGGTAAATCTCCTAATGCTATCCCTCCCCCCTCCCCCCACCCACAACAGGCCCCAGTGTGTGATGTTCCCCTTCCTGTGTCCAAGTGTTCTCATTGTTCAGTTCCCACCTATGAGTGAGAACATGCGATGTTTGGTTTTCTGTTCTTGCGATAGTTTGCTGAGAATGATGGTTTCCAGCTGCATCTATGTCCCTACAAAGGACATGAACTCATCCTTTTTTATGGCTGCATAGTATTCCATGGTGTATATGTGCTGCATTTTCTTAACCAAACATTACAAGAAAAAAACAACCCCACCAAAAAGTGGGCAAAGGATATGAACAGACACTTCTCAAAAGAAGACTTTTGTGCAGCCAACAGACACATGAAAAAAAGCTCATCATCACTAGCCATCAGAGAAATGCAAATCAAAACCACAATAAGATACCATCTCACACCAGTTAGAATGGCGATCATTAAAATGTCAGGAAACAGGCCGGGCGCCGTGGCTCAAACCTGTAATCCCAACACTTTGGGAGGCCGAGATGGGCGGATCACGAGGTCAGGAGATTGAGACCAGCCTGGCTAACACGGTGAAACCCTGTCTCTACTAAAAAAATACAAAAAACTAGCTGGGAGAAGTGGTGGGCACCTGTAGTCCCAGCTACTCGGGAGGCTGAGGCAGGAGAATGGAGTAGACCCGGGAGGCGGAGCTTGCAGTGAGCTGAGATCCGGCCACTGCACTCCAGCCTGGGCGACAGAGCAAGACTCCATCTCAAAAAAAAAAAAAAAAAAAAAAAGTCAGGAAACAACAGGTGCTGGAGAGGATGTGGAGAAATAGGAATACTTTTACACTGTTGGTGGGACTGTAAACTAGTTCAACCATTGTGGAAGACAGTGTGGCGATTCCTCAAGGATCTAGAACTAGAAATACCATTTGTCCCAGTGATCCCATTACTGGGTGTATACCCAAAGGATTATAAATCATGCTGCTATAAAGACACATGCACACATATGTTTATTGCGGCACTGTTCACAATAGCAAAGACTTGGAACCAACCCAAATGTCCATCAAGGACAGACTGGATTTTATTTTTAAAATCATGTTTGTTTCAGTTGGGCTCTGATCATATATTATTGTTTCTATTATTTGTTCTTTTGAAGTTTGCTGAATTTCTGGTTTTATATATGCTTTTTCTGGGCAGTGAATGTTTCATTGGCACTTAAGGAAGGTGTGCAATGTCAATTGGTTCTACCTCTTGAAAAGTATTGAGGTTTTTTATCGCCTTGCTTTATTCTGCCAGCTTAAATTTATATGGACTGGAAAGTCACTGAAATCCACTGTTAACCTGTTTCTGACTATTTCTCTTTGAACATCCTATGCTTTTTGCTTTACGTATCAATGCTATATACTTGAGACATTCGTTTTCGTACCTATTACATCTTCTTGCACCCCTTATAAAATGCTCTTCTTTTCCTCATTTACTGACATTTTTAATTCAAACACATTTTATATTAAGATTATGATCCCTGCTTTATTTTTGTTTACATCTGGCTGGTATTCCTTTACCTTTCACCCTTTCTAATTAACTTTGTTTTGGTTATATATTTTGGCATCAGCGTACAGTTACATTTTTTAGATCCAACCTGAAATTATTTTCTTTTACTAGATGAGCTTGGCCCACTCGACTTTATCATTGTAAGTGTGTTTGGTATTAATTTTATTCTATTATTTTATGCTATACAGTTTGCTTTTATTGTTTTGAAATACCCTTTCACTGTAAGGGCTACATTTGTCTTTGTTTTGTATGCATGCTTCCTCTCATGTTTTAGAAGATTTTTTTCTAGGGTTACTTTTATAACTGTAACTTTGTGTAGAGTTCTAACACTCTGTTTCTAGTCAGTGTCTACTAATTCCCTGGTATAAGCACAATGAAATTAGTGTATTCCTGTTTCTTTTCCCTTTTCTCTTTCTCCTATACCATGTAATTTATTTAATTATGTTATATTAATCTTTCTTTTATACTGGTTTGTGTACTTATACATTTATTATGTAATTTATCAGGTTTAAATAATATCTTTTAACATTCAGCTATAGAAGATGAGGAAGTCAACACATACTTCCTGTCTCCTTTCTTGCTAATTATAAACATTTTACCTTTTGAGATTTTAAAAACATTTACATTTTATTTCATACTTACAATTTCCACAAATGTTTTAGTCTTAGACCTACAGTTAAATATATTTAAGATTAACCATCAGTTTATAGACTGCAGAGTTCCCATTTTTCTTTTTGTTGACTGAAGTCTGTTTCTTAAAAAAGCTTCTGTTAAAAAACAAAACAAAACTCAGAAGTCTGCTGTTTTCAACAATGGCTAATGTTTGTAACTTTCCTTGAATTCTCAGATTGTCAACTTGACTTTATATATGAATATTATATTTGAATAATGGTCTAGATAGTTTTAACAATTTTGGATCATATTTTCTTTCCCCAGAGGTTGCAGACATGTTTTTCATTACATTCCAGCTTTGACTGCTACTTTGGAGAAGTGATATACTATCTTAATTTCTTTCCTTTAGAATTGACTGGATTTTGTTTGTTTGTTTTTGACTAGGCTATCCATTTTTTTAATCATTGATATTCAGTGATATTCCAGTGGTATGTAACAGTGTTGGCATTCTGTATGAATGTTTCCTGGGACAAGGTGTGCACTTTTTAATTGTAAATTCAAGTGTTTCTGTAATTTTTTAATTAAAATTGAGTTTTAAATAATTGTTCTTTTTCGCTTTTTTGATTTCCTCCTTTGGTGATTCTATTGTACATAGATTGGATCTCCTTTGTCTCTTCTCATATCTGTCATTTTCTCTCTTTTCTCATTTAATCTTGTCATCTTTTAAAATACTGTTCCTGCATCTGTCTAATTGTTTTTCATTGTATTGTTTCTAATATATATATTTTTTTGGTGTAGTGATTTTACATTTCTTTAACATCTTTTCTTTCTTCTTCCAGCTCACATTTCTTATCTTTCTTGAAATCTCTTCCCTCAGCTCTTATATTTTTACTCTGTTTTCTTATTTTATATCGGAAAATGCCTCCTTAAGTTTTTTTTTTTTTTTTTTTAAATTTTTGGAGAGGCTGAAATGTTTGGTAACAATTTTCTTTTTTATTATTATTTTATTTTTTTAAGTTCCAGGGTACGTGTGCAGGACATGCAGCTTTGTTACACAGGTAAACATGTGCCATGGTGGTTTGCTGCACCTATCAACCCATCACCTAAATATTAAGCCCAGAATGCATTAGCTCTTTTCCCTAATGCTCTCCCTCCGGCCACCCTCCTGTGACAGGCCCCAGTGTGTGTTGTTTCCCTCCCTGTGTCCATGTATTCTCATTGTTCAGCTCCCACTTATAAGTGAGAACATGCAGTGTTTGGTTTCCTGTTCCTGCATTAGTTTGCTGAGGATAATGGCTTCCAGCTTCATCCATGTCCCTGCAAAAGACATGATCTCATTCTTTTTCATGGTTTCATAGTATTCCATGGTGTACATGTACCACATTTTCTTTATCCAGTATGTCATTGATGGGCATTTGGGTTGGTTCCATGTCTTTGCTAGGTAACAATTTTCATATATTTAATGGCTACATTCTTTGATGGAGTGAATTTTATCATCCATTTGTCTGTCTTGTTTCTTTACCTCTTTTTTCTGGTAAAATCCTTGTTTATATGCTATGCAAGTTTGTTTTAATCCTTAAATGAAATGAGTTTTTGCCAAACTATATATTCACAAGATACTTGTATCTTGCAAGGCTAAGACATGATTCAGACTAGCAGTAACCTACCTTGTGATTCAGAATTGGAGGTAAATTATTTCAGCTTTTACTTGTATGTAATGAATACAGACAGGTAACTACAACTATGAGAACTGATGTATTTTTTTCTATCTTTTGCCTCCAGTTTTATGCTTTGTCTATAGCCTGTGTACCTAAGTCTTCATTTAGCCTTTTCTCTGCTTCTTGAGTTCAGTTCAGGATCACAGAGGATTATGGTGCCATACTTTACACCGTATACCCATTATTGCAAACAAGAGCTTTGGTTTTGTTTTTTATTGATTACCTCCCTCCACCCAACTTTTTTTTTTTTTTTTTTTTTAAAGAGAATTATACTCATTTAACTCTTCTACAGTCATGGATTTCCTCTGCTTCTTGTCATTCTCCTATTTGATCTTTACTATTCTTGAATTCTTCCAATCTAGTTTATGGATTGGGGTTGTGGACATTTACTAGTTTCTTTGAAGATAGAATCTGTATGTTTCTTTTTCTGCTTGTTTTGGAAAGAGAGAAATTCTGAGAAAAGAACGTTTTGGATTTACTCGGCCGTGTTCAAACCAGAAGTACACTTTTTGCTTATTTTTCCCAAGGGTTTATCTTGCACAATCTTTACAAATAGGTTCTTGCAGCTGGGGGGCGGGTTGGAGGAGGGAGGTCCAGAGTGGTAATGTTACCTGTGCTTACACCTGCAAATAAAGGTAAATGTAGTGAAAGAGTAAACAAGTGTAGTGTGGCCTGAGGAGCACCAAATTCCTTACTTGTACCGAGGGAATGTGGCAGAGGGCTGGGCAAGTAGAAGGAGGTCTGTTTCTTTTTTCTGAATAAATAAATTATTGGGAGGAGTGATTATTTTCCTCCTTGGATGTTTCTTTGCAGGAACTCATGCAGCCAGAATCTGGGGCCAATGGAACAGCCATTGCTGAGTTCATCCTGCTGGGCTTGGTGGAGGCGCCAGGGCTGCAGCCAGTTGTCTTTGTGCTCTTCCTCTTTGCCTACCTGGTCACGGTTGGGGGCAACCTCAGCATCCTGGCAGCCGTCTTGGTGGAGCCCAAACTCCACACCCCCATGTACTTCTTCCTGGGGAACCTATCAGTGCTGGATGTTGGGTGCATCAGCGTCACTGTTCCCTCAGTATTGAGTCGTCTCCTGTCCCACAAGCGTGCAGTTCCCTATGGGGCCTGCCTTACCCAACTCTTCTTCTTCCATCTGTTCGTTGGGGTGGACTGCTTCTTGCTGACCGCCATGGCCTATGACCGATTCCTGGCCATCTGCCGGCCCCTCACCTACAGCACCCGCATGAGTCAGACAGTCCAGAGGATGTTGGTGGCTGCATCCTGGGCTTGTGCCTTCACCAATGCACTGACCCACACTGTGGCCATGTCCATGCTCAACTTCTGTGGCCCCAATGTGATCAATCACTTCTACTGTGACCTCCCACAGCTCTTCCAGCTCTCCTGCTCCAGCACCCAACTCAATGAGCTGCTGCTTTTTGCTGTGGGTTTTATAATGGCAGGCACCCCCATGGCTCTCATTGTCATCTCCTATATCCACGTGGCCGCCGCAGTCCTGCGAATTGGCTCTGCAGAGGGCAGGAAGAAAGCCTTCTCCACGTGTGGCTCCCACCTCACTGTGGTGGTCATATTCTATGGTTCAGGTATCTTTAACTATATGCGACTAGGTTCAACCAAGCTTTCAGACAAGGATAAAGCTGTTGGAATTTTCAACACTGTCATCAATCCCATGCTGAACCCCATCATCTACAGCCTCAGAAATCCTGATGTGCAGAGCGCCCTCTGGAGGATGCTCACGGGGAGGCGGTTACTGGCTTGATCAATTGACCTTTTCTCCCTGCATCTTTTGTACTAACGGAAAAATCTTCTAGAGCCAGAAACTAGGGAAAAAAATGGTTCAGACTTGTTTCTGTTTCCATGGGCATAAGAAGGACTTTTTGTAGGGAATAATAGTTTCCATTTCTTAAAGCAGCCCTGCCCAGTTATAAGCAATGAGTGTATAGGATCTGCCAAACCAGCCCCTTAGACAAATTCAACTTCAGGCACTGTGTTCTCTCCTTGCTGGCTAGAGGTGAAACCTAGGAAGCTGTGAATGCTTGTGGTTCATGTCCCAGAGGGAACGACTCTTTGGTCGGTTACAGCCCGAGTTGCCAGAAGTCCCCCAGAAAACTTCTTCCGAGAAGTCATATTTTTCCCTCAAGTTCAGGTATGCTTGATCTGTTTATAAAACATAGGTCTAGAGATTAGAATTGTTTGATTTCTCCCATCAGAACTCTATAAGCAAAAATAAAAAAGAAACAAAAACAAAAAAGTAGCTCTTTCTATTCCCTTTAAACAAGGACCCCATAGCACAGACAGGGGACAGAGGGGAAGCTGTATGGTTACGTATTCGCTAGTAATTCTGGAGCACCTGATGCCTGTGTGCAGCCCGCAGACTTGTTTCTAAACGCTAAAACTCCATTAATACATATTGTGTATCTTATGATACAAAAATGAATTTTGCTCATCTTTTTTCCCCATGTGTTTCAAATTTTTTGAGAAGGTAAGAATTTATAATCTAGAAAAGATAAGAATTTATAATCTGAGCATTATTTACGTATTTCAAAAAACCCAGGACTCCTCAATATGAAAATTTCTCCAAAACTCTCACTCTTAGTCTGCAAACCTCCTTGCTGAGATAATCCATGACTATAAATGCAAGTTGTATGGTGAGGAGTCGCCCTGAATGTCCCTTCTCAGTAGGGGAGTGTGGCTGTGACCCAGAGCATTGTCTCAACGTGCTCGATGTTAAACCAGCCATGATCTCGCTGTATCTTCTTTTCAGCCTCGCATTTAGGACTCATTGCCCACCCCTAGCAACTCTCCTGTGCCACTGCTGGTTCCCAATGCCTCTCCCTAAAACTGTCCTCTGACTGGCACCTGTGACTTGGCTTCTCCGTAATATTTTATGGGGGTGAGGGATTGAACAGACGCGGTAAGATAGAGATAAATAGAACAGACACAAAAGAGGGAAGCAAAACAAGGTTGGAGGAGGAGAGTTGGTGGGAAAACGAAGTGGAAAGATGAGGAGTAGGGAGAACAGGGAGAGAATTGCAAGTGGAGGGGTTGAAAGGGAAGCATGGCCGTATTAGGAGCAGATGGGGTACACAGAATGGGGAATGTGAAAGAATGGAGGAATTGGGTAAGATGCTTTGAGACTGTTAAAAGATCAGAGGAAGAAAGTGGGGGAATGAAATAAGTGGGTCACACATGAGAGATGTGGGCTTCCCATTCTGTGTTGTCCAGCAACCACCAATTCCAGTAGCCCTGATGCCATCGTTGTAGTCCATCTTCTCTACTAAGAAGGAAGTGATTGATATTTTAAGTTATGCTAAATGTACAAAAAAAGTGCAACAAGGACTCGTCTTCTCTTTCTCTAAACAGAGGTGCTCCTAGGATGTCAGGAAGAAGGTTTACTAGATGAGAAAACACAGAATAAAAGAGTGCTGGGTATTTTCTCCAGCTGCATATCTAAAATGTCATCAACATTTGTGACAAACTGCCCAACTTACACTCCCTACCTTTTGAGTCATGCTGGCTGACAGTGTCAGTAGACATAGGAAAAAGATGTCATTTTCTGATTCTTACTGTGTCATCAGACAAACTTCAGGGACACAAAGAGTGAGTCTCCTTCAAGGGTCAAGAAGACTGTTGGGGAAGACCTGGGATATGGTTCCCATCTCATCCCTTCTCTCATTCACAATGCACTTGACCTTGAATAAGTTGATGAGTTCCTTTGGGCCTGTTCTTGACTGAAAGCACTAGGTTATATTAAGGTTCTTCCACTGCGAATGTTCTCTGAGTCTCTTAGTTTGAATGAATAGAAAGACTGGATCTGTTTACCCTGAGAAAGCTACCACACCTTCCACCATCACTTCTTTTGCTACATGTAACACCTGCAGCAAAACTGAGCCTGCTGTTTATCTCCAAAGATCTGGTGCCTCTGGCATTTCGTCCAGCTGGCTATTTACTTCCAGCCTCAAGGAAAGATTTCTGTCTTGGCCTTGCCACTAGGGTAGACTGGAGCAACTGGGTCCAACATCATGGAGAATGGCCAAGGACATGATTCCCAGGTCCCCGTTCACCCTCCAGGATCATACAGCTTCTTTATCAATTTGGGAGATTCCATTTCTTTTGGAATTTTTCTCCCCTTTTATATTCCAAACTGGAAATCTCCTTGCTACTTAAAAATTCTATTATACATGTAATGCATCATGTTGTAAATGTCCAAACAGTACAGAACATCACCAGCCTTCTGCACCATCCCCACATTAATCTCATCTTTTTATCTTATTAACTACCGTTAATAGTTTCATGTTTAGCTTTCCAGACAAATGAACATACACACACACACACACACACACAAATTCAAAACCATACTGTGTTGTAATCTTACTTGTCTCTATCTATATTACATAGTATAATTCTTACATGTCAGTCTAAAAATCTCTTACTCATTTTAAAGGCTGCATAATATTCCATTTATATAAAATTATAATCTATTTAACCACACCCCTATTGACGTAATTTAGTTCCTGTTTTTGCAACTGCCAATAATACTGAGATTAGAATTTATATATCTGTCTGAATATCTGGAATTATTTCCAGTGGCTAAGTTCATGAACATGGTTTGTGTGTTTGTGTAGAAGAACATGTTCACCATAGGAAATAGAAATGCAAAGTTAAAGTTCAGTAAGTATTCTGCCTTTGTATTTGCCAACAAATGTACAGCATTTTACATCCAGATGGACAGTGTATGTGAATGCTTGCCACTTCACATCTTTGACCTCACTGGATGTTTTTTGTATCTATATCTTTTTATGTTTGAAAGTTAGATGAAATATTGTATTATTTTTAATTTGAATTTCTTTGATTATGGGTGTGGTTGAATACATTTTTATGTACAGTCATGTGTTACTTAATGACGGGGATACATTCTGAGAAATGCATTGTTAGGGATGGTGTTGTGCGAACATCGCTTCCACCTGTGTAAGAGTGTACTAGGTATGGCCTAGTAAACACCGGGGCTATGTGAAATAGCCTGTTAATAGCCTATTGCTCTGACCACTGCCATATATGCAGGCTTTATTGACCAAAACATCATTATACTGCACATAACTGTATTTATTTGTTATTTGTATTTCTTCTTTGCAAATTTCTTCTTTTTTTTTGTCTTTTTTTTTTTTTTGCCCTTTTGGTGATAGTTTATCTTTTTGTAAATGATTGGTAGAAATGCTTTCTGTTTTAAAACGGTAATTCTTTGCCATACATGTTGCTAACATATTTCCTAATTTCCCATTTGTCTTTAACTTTGTTTAGAATAACTGCTGTCCAAATTAATTTTATATTTTATGAACTTTATCTTCTTTGTTTTATGTCATGCTTAGGAAAAAGAGCTTTTTCATCTAAATGCTGTATAAATATGTGTCTGATGTTTTTCTAGTATTTTTACATTTGTTTTTAAGTCAAATATTTAATATACTTAGAGCTTATTGTTGTATATGTTCTCATTTTTTCCTAGTAATTGTCTCAGCACAATAAAATATAAGTTCGATTACATATACAGTATATTGATATTATATATATAATAGAAAAACATAAATTCAGCAAAAGTAAAAATATTTTAACTGAGACAAATGCTGCCACCCACGAAGCAAGTTTGCAGTTCAAGCCTCGCCAAGAGAATTACCTATCAAACATGGGAAATGACACATGGTAAATAATCTAATCGAGAATCTCCAGCAGAACAGAGTATTCGTAATATCCAGGATACAGTCCAGAATTAACATATGAAGAATCGAGAAAGTGCAACACATTCTCCAGAGAAAAGAAAATCCAGCAAGTCCGACTCTGAAATCAACTAGATGTTGACACTCACAGGCAGAAATTTTAAATGGCTGTTATAATTACCCCAAATTAGGTAAAAAATTAAAGCAAACATGGTTTCAAGGAATGAAATTCTCAGCAGAGAAATAGACACAATACTGTGTACACATGGATGCAGAGGGGAAGGATAGACAATGGAAAATCAGAAATGGGAGGGGGTGGATGATGAGAATAAATTACTTAATGGGTACAGTGTGCATTATTTGAGTGATGGGAAGCCTAAACGCCCTGACTTGACCACTCTGCACTCTATGCACGTATCAGAAATGTGGGGGGGTGGGAGGTGGGAGGGGGGGTGGATGATGAGAAATTACTTAATGAGTACAATGTACATTATGTGAGTGATGTCCCCATCCCAAGATCTCAAACTTTAAAGTCTCCTTTACCATATAAAGTAGATTCCAGGGTTTAGGCGGGATATCTTTGGGGCCCATTCTTCTACCTATCACAAGATGGATTAAAGACTTAAATGTAAGACCTAAAACCATGAAAATCCTAGAAGAAAACCTAGGCAATACCATCCAGGACATAGGCCTGGGCAAAGACTTCATGTCTAAAACACCAAAAGCAATGGCAACAAAAGCCAAAATTGACAAATGGGATCTAATTAAAGAGCTTCTGCACAGCAAAATAAACTCTCATTAGAGTGAACAGGCAACCTACAGAATGGGAGAAAAGTTTTGCAATCTGTCCATCTGACAAAGAGCTAATATCCAAAATCTACAAATAAACAAATTTACAAGAAAAAAACCAACCCCATCAAAAAGTAGGCAAAGGATATGAACAGACACTTCTCAAAAGAAGACATTTATGCGGCCAACAAACATACGAAAAAAAAAAAGCTCATCATCACTGATCATTAGAGAAATGCAAATCAAAACCACAAGGAGATACCATCTCATGCTAGTTAGAATGGTGATCATTAGAAAGTCAGGAAACAACAGATGCTGGAGAAGATGTGGAGAAACAGGAACACTTTTACACTATTGGTGGGAGTGTAAATTAGTTCAACCATTGTGGAAGACAATGTGGTGATTCCTCAAGGATCTAGAACTAGAAATACCATTTGACCCAGCGATCCCATTACTGGATATATATCCAAAGGATTATAAATCATTCTACTATAAAGACACATGCACACGTATGTTTCTTGTGTCACTGTTCACAATAGCAAAGACTTGGAGCCAACCCAAATGCCCATCAGTGACAGACTGGATAAAGAAAATGTGGCACATATACACCATGGAATACTATGCAGCCATTAAAAAGGATGAGTTCCTTTCCTTTGCAGGGACATGGATGAAGCTAGAAACCATCATTCTCAGCAACTAACACAAGGACAGAAAACCAAACACTGCATGTTCTCACTCATAAGTGGGAGTTGAACAATGAGAACACATGGACACAGGGAGGGGAAGATCACACACCAGGGCCTGTTGTGGGGTGGGGGGCTAGGGGAGAGATAACATTAAGAGAAATACCTAATGTAGATGACAG